TATACACATACTTACATACATACATATATATGGAGAGAGACAGCTTGGTGATTTGAAGAGTATCAGGAAGCCTGAGTGTTCAAATCCCTGCATCACTTTTCACATCAGTGTTTAAGTTATATCAGTTTCTCTCTGGACCTCTGTTTCCTTATCTGTAACTAATTGAAAGCAAAATAAAGCAAATATAATACTTGCCACTTATTAGTACTTGCTGTATATTTAGCACTTGATTAAATATTTTATACCTCTTACTCATTTAATACTCACAACATCCCTCTGAGGTAGCTATTATTATTAATAACACATTTTTGCTGAAAGGAAAATGGAGCATAGAGATCAAGTAGCTTGTCCAAGGTCACAAAGCTAATAAATGGCCAAAAAAAAGAAGTTGATCTCAGATCTCTTTGATTCTTAAGTACAAGTTCTCAACTATTACACCAAGGTTGCAAATTTGAGGCTCAATGGCAAAATCCAGTCCACAGACATATTTTGTTTGTCCTGTAGGTTTCTGAGAAATTGGATGTTCTGGCAACATTAAGCTTGTTTTCTTCATGGAAACCATCAGCTAAATGGGGCATGGTTCACCAGTTTGCTGTGGTCTTTCTAATAAAGAGTTGGCCATGGTGATTGTCCCAGAGTGCAGTTAGGAAGAATATTTCATCAACACTTGTTTCTATGAAAAATTGGGAAATGAATCATCAACCTAGGGGGCATATGTTTTCATCAGACTGTGTCACTCATATTACCACCCTGGACTCTATAGGAACTGAGGTTATGATGTCTGCATTCACTTTGACTAAATGATTTCAAGTGGATGATTCTGTAGTGCCTTACACTTTAAAAATTGTACTGAATTTTAAGTGAGATAATTTTGTGATTATACTTTTATTTTAAAGAAATTATAATTGGGTGTTTATAATGCCAACTGGGATTTTTGTCAATTATATATATATATTTATCCAGGAAGAACAAGTATGGATCTGTTATATTCTTCCATTTCAGCAATTGAATAGTTGGATAATA